AACTAAAGAAGTCTATTATATTATTCACTTATTTGTCCCTTCTTTATCTATGGCTTATCGATTTGGGGCAGTACTAATAGTTCTGCCCTTAGACTTTTAATAATCTTAGTAAACAAGGTCGCTGTGTTTATTAGTTTGTTTGCTACTTACATAAAAGTAGTGTATATCCCCGGAGGAAGCTTCTGGAAGTTTTTGCACGAAACAGCCCTGCAATTTAACACGTTATGTCATTTAAGCTGTACAGCTGGCAATACCTAGCCGTCACCTAACGTCGCCCCAGGAACGTCAGAGAAGAACATTATTCCGACTTTCAACGACCGATGACCCGAGATTGAGTGTTTACTAAAAAGCATTAAGTTCTTAGACCATGTACGATAGCACTGATAGCCTTATTAAATTCAATTTTTGTGGCTTCCCCGACAGCATATATCACTTGCGAGAGCTGTCTACAGAGCATGACTGGGATCTAGGTATGTTTAGTAACGATGGTAAAAATCAGGTAAAAAAGGCCAGACTGAATTAATAAGCTTCTGGTCAGAAAAATGATGATATGATTATATAATTAATTTATAATTAATTTACTTTTGCCAACTCTGTACTTACAAGGTCATATTGGATGGCATTTCGTCGAATATATTTTCCGGTAGTAACGGCAGAGGATTGTCAAATAGTGTCCTGAAAACAAAACATCAATTAATGTAGCTAGCGTAACAAAATTACTGAATACACAACTTATATTATGGTACGACGACAATAAACACAATTGTACACTTTCATGAGCTCTCGTAAGGACAAAGCAACAATCCTTACAATGGTATCGGTTCCATTATTTCCGGTAATATCGATGTGTTCCTAGATATTGCTTATTTTTATTGGTATCGCCTTTCAACTACATTTGTAGAAGGTGCAGATACTTCATAACTCTTAAGTACCCAAAATTGGGCAACGTTTTAATTTGAGGCCAGAAAATATCTCGATTTACTCCAAAGGTCAGTTCTGGCATACTTTAGAAATGATTCAACATTTCCAAAAAGTTTAATAACAAAATAAATACCAGAGAAAAATTGGACTACCTTTTTTTTTTTTTTTTT